TACTCTATTCACTTCTGCGTGGTCCTACAGTCTAATCATCTTTTCAAAGCCCCACCTTCCAGTCACCACAATAGGATTTCCCACCCTCAACAGTCACAGTGGGGATTAAGCCTCAGTGAGGTTGGGGGCATAAATCTACAGCAGCATCCTAAACAGACGTCTCTCTTCTTATCTCCTCACTTGTGTAGCTGTGACCTCCCACAGCTGCCACTGTAAAATGACACTGCGTATAGAGGGCTTAGTGCCTGGACCATAGCAAATGCCCATAGGTGGTAGCTATTTATATTTAAACTGACTTTGGCCATTAACTAATGACTTAAATATTACACTGTCATCTACCTTTTCACTTGTGTCTAACTCCTTAATTAAACTGTAAACTCCTAGAAGGCTTGGGAGTATGTTTTAGACCAGTGGTTCTCAAATTTTAGCGCACGTCAGGATCTGCTGAAGCGTAGCTCCCTGCCCCTCGCGCCCCCACCCCCATTTCTGATTCAGGAGGTCCGGGGTGCAGCTGACAATTTGCATTTCTAGCAAGTGCTCAGGTGACGCTGATGCTGCTGGACCTGGGACCCCACTTAGATAACCACTATTTTAGACACTCCGTATCTTCCCAAAAATCTACCACAGAAGGAAACTTTCAACTCAATAACTCAGAGTGCATTTTTTTAATGCAAAAGGTAATACAAATGCCACTGGGAAAATCTGCTCTGACCCCCATTGTAAGAAAAGTTTCATAACTACAGGGGCTGAGCGGAAAGAGATGAGCAAGAAATCGTGTTGAAAGAAAAGGTGCCAGTGGTACAATGGAACACTGCCTGTCCTCTGTTGGATTTCAGGGGTGGGTGCCAAGTACAGACAAGGAGCCAAACAATAGCTCAGCCAACTCGTTCTTAGCTCAATGCATAACAATGCCAGCAGGACTGCTGGGATCCATCTGCTACTCTCTTTCTGATAACAGATCTGAGGTCCCTCTGGAAGGAAATAGCTTGACAGGAAAAAAAAGAAAGATTAGGCCAACTGAAAATGTCTGCATTTATGAAGCTGCACTCTAATGTGGCACAGCTTTTAATTCCTTATGGCACTTTACTAAGCGTCAGTATATTCCTGCTAATCTGTCTGTTTTCTCTGTTCCTTTCATCAAGAAATGTAACTTGCGAATGCCAAAGCTCTCCTGGACACGTTCTGTTTCCACACAGCTATGGGTTAAATGTGTCCCCCAAAAGTTCATGTATTGGACACTTGACCCCCATTGTAGAAGTGTTAAGAGAGTGGGAAATCTAATTATGATATTTGAAAGATAGGGCCTTCGAGAGGTGACTGGATCATGAAGACTGTGCCGTCGTGCCTGGATTAATCCATTCTTGGCGTAATGAGTTATCATGGGTGTGATTCTGATGGCTTTATAAGAAGAAAGAAGGGGTTGGCTGGTTAGCTCAGTTGGTTAGAGGGCAGCCTGATAGCACCAAGGTCGCAGGTTTGGGTATGTGTACCAGCCAGTTGCCAAAAAAAAAAAAAAGAAAAGAAAAGAAAAGGAGAGTGAGTGAGAGAATGAGAAGGTTAGTTTTCTTGCTCATGCCACCTCTGGCCATGTGACACCTGCACTGCTGTGGAGAGTCACCACCAAGAAGGCCCTCTCCAGATGTGCCCCCGGACCGTGGACTTCCCAGCCTCCAAAACTGTAAGAAATAAATTTCATTTCTTTGTAAATTACCCAGTTTCAAGTATCCCGTTAAACGCAACAGAAAACGGACTAATACACACACAAATTATATTCATAGAATTTAATACCAAAGAAATGCTTGAGGTCATCCAGTCCAACCCACTAATTTTACAGATGAGGAAACTTAAGCCTGGGGTTAATCCTAAAATATATAACAGTAATGACAGAACCAGGCTGTAACACAGATTTCTTGACTCACAGTGGGCACATGGCATGAATGATCCTTTAAATTTCCAAACTGAGTAGGAAACAGATACTTTTCTCCACTACATTTTAAGGAAGAAACATGATTTCCCCCTTTACTTAAGTTCCTTTTCACAATTTGCCCTTTTGTCCCTGGAAGCAGGAGGGCTTTATAAAGGAAAAGGAAGAGAAATGACAAACCCTAAACAGTTTCATCAGAACCCAAAACTTGAGGGCAACGATGACATTCAGCCCATTGGATACCCAGAAACGTGGCACAGAGCAAATTCTCAAAAACTATGTGGTGAATAGATGAATGAATGATTGAATCACTGATTTAACAGTTGGTTGCCAGTTTTTCAGTCGATTAGGGAATGAATGTTTTACACTAAGATTCTGAGCCTGCTTTGGAGTCTCCTTATTCCTACTAGTATGTTAGGTGCTTGCATAAAACTAGAAAATGCCTATTCTGTAGGACAGGCAGTGTGTCAGCCAGGAAAGTATGGGCTTTGGAGGTAGAAAGCTTTAAATCCCACAGTGTTCACGCTGGTTACTTAATTCTAGGCAATTTATCCTTAATTCTAGGCAAAACCTTTTGGATATTTGAGTCCTGCTGCCCCCTTCCCCTACCAGCATGCAAGGATTAAATGCAATAATGTGGGCAAAGTGCCTTGCACATAGCA